GGACTTTTTTCATTTAACATGGAACGGCGCTTAAAAAATCTTTTTTTTTAGAAAAAATTTTTTTTTTTTTTTTTTTTTTTTTTTTTTATGAAGGAACTTGATATGTGTTTAGCATGTAGAAAACAAAATGTCTCTCTGGACACCTTTAAATAAACTAGGTAAAGCTGTTCCTGTAGACCACAACGCTGAGCAGTGAAAACCACGACAACCGAGAAGATACGTTTTCTTTTACGAAAAGATGAGGGAACGCAGGAGACCGCAGCAAATTAGAAGCTAACATATTCACTATGAGATCTACTTTTGAATCATCCTCAGCATTTCTTTGATAATATTGTTGAATTGTTTTTATATATATATATTTTTTTTTTGCAAGCTGTTGCATTTTTTTGATTTTCTTGCAAGACTGCAAAGTCATCTTAAACCAGATTAAAATGGATTTATTTGACTACTTGAGTCCAGAGTAAACATTTGGTTGACAAATTTTATTGCCTGTGATATTTTTATGCCTTTTTAATCGTTTAAAAAGAAATTATAGTATAAATAGTTCATTGCAAACATCCAGCACAAGGCAAGCGGACAATTTAAAATGGACTGTTTTACATATAGATGAGTCAAATAAATACACCTCATCAGTGTTTTTTTATTATTATTATTAATATCAGTGAGTTATGCAGTTTTAGTTATTGTCAAAATAAATGTGAGCTATTTAGGAGGGAGCACCTATAATTTGTCATAAAAATACCTTCACAATTACCTTTTGTTGATTTTTTTTTTCTTTCCTGTTTGCCGTTCAGCTCAGTTTCATTAAACCCGAAACTGTTCAGTGAAAGAGACGGAGAACAACTGAACAGGTTTTAACACTCAGACTCTGATGCAGGCCAGACGTGATGCTTGTGCCAGAAGAGATCAGATGATCTTCAAGTCACCCTTTTTAGAGAGATACGGGGGCTTTATATATATATATTTATTTATATATATATATATATATATATATATATATAAACAACAGAATAAAGGGCTTCCAGTGTACGGCGCCTGTAACTTCTTTACTTATTGAGATACACTGAAACAAAACGACAGACAGCAGTCACTTCATTTTGGAGAGTATTTCAGGGGTCAGCATGCATGCGCTTGTAGCCATTCAAAAACTTTATTTAACAGGGTCAGAATGCACACAGGTTGAAAATGTTCTAATAAAAACCTCAGTACAAACTTTGAGAGACGACCAGTTGTGTATAGAAGAGGGATTTACAATATCTGGTCAACAACTGGTGGAACAATTTGCACATGTTTACTGTTGGTAACTTCCAGGATGGTTTAGGTGTTTGAAATGATCACTTTTCTTATTTATTTCAGCCTTAGTTTCTGTCTGTTGATCAGTCTTCCTTCTTCTGTTTTTATGGTGGCTGGCGAACAGCTTTTAATTTGCGTTACCAACACCTTACTGATTGGAGCATGGATCAGATTTTTACCCGCTCTTCCCAAAACAGCCTCTAGTCCTAGCTGAGCACAAAGCTAATTTTGAACATTGACTTGGATCTGTTCCACCAGGTGTTTTGCTAATTGCTGCTGGCTAGTCTGAAGGAGCTCAGCTCATGAACAGATGAGCTCAAAAGCTCATCTGTTTATGAGAAACAACAGATTAAAGAATTTCTCAAATATGTAGGTAAGAATCAAAGCAACACTCCAGGTATGTTTTTGATGTAGGAATAACATCATTATAACAACGTAAAGCTAAAAAAGTCGACTTCACATGCCACTGCCCCTTTAAAGTGGAGGAGATGCAGGATTTTGTGATTCTCAAATAACTCCATCCATCCGCCAAAGCAGCTCATTTCTGTCGTACGGGCTCTGGTGTCTTTTCTTGGATAGAGATGCTTCTATTTCATTTGAGAAAAATAAAAGAGAACCCAGGCTAAACCCACCAGGAGTTCAACAAAGAAGAGAGAGATGGATCTAGGAACTGAGAAGAAGGAGCAATTGAAACAAGCAAGAAACATGGTGTGATGATGAGCCAGATATTTCTGTTCTTCATTGATTCACCACTGTCTAAGGGCCCCTATCATCTCAGTACCAACATATGAGCAAAGGGAAGGGCCCGTGTTTTAGGGGAGTCTCAGTGTGAAGCGAAAGAAAACCAAAGTCTGTACCTGGGATAGTTTTTTCTTTCACAATCTCAGGAACAAAAACACAATCTGGCAAACTGAGACATCTTACAAGCAGTAAGGGGAATATTTTTTTTTCTTCTTTTTGGTTTGTTCATCCCTTTTTAAAATATGATGAAATTGTATCATTATATGATGTAGACGACGGGCATAGTTAAACATCCCCTGCTGAAGGAGGATTTATCCTGGGACTGAACCCCGGTGAGCTCGGGACCAATTAAGCCAAAGTAATGAGCTTTTACCAAAGCAAAAACGACATAATTCTGTGTTAACATGTAGCAGGTAGAATGTGGTCGACGGGGAGGAAAAGAAAAAAGGGGGAAAAAAAGAGGACAAAATCAGAAATAACAAGGTGTATACAGCTATGTGGGTTTTAAAGCCAAGTTTGTGTGCAATGAGACACAGGAGGAATGAAATACATTTTAAACAAAAACATAGCAAAAGATGAGTAATGTCTTCAAATTAATATATTCAACAAACTACTTTCTACTTCTGAACCACCTTAAGAGTATCAAGAGTTTGTATTCTCGTCATGCGAGGAATGTAGTATGTATAAAATTTATTCTGAAATTATTTTTCAGTCTCATGTTATAAAGCTCTTTACTTTTGTGGCGGGTAGCTCTACAATATCGCACATTTCTTCTAAGATCAGACAGGTTGGCAGCCTTGTGTTTAGATGTTCTGGTGTTCATTGTTTGTAGAGCATCTTTTGTTTTTTTATTCCATTTTGAAGGAAATGGAGGGAACTACACTTCCTGAAAGCGCCTTTGTTTGCTCACGTTGAGCTTTCACGCTAACAGAAATAGACGGTTAGAACTCGACCAATAGAATTTGTGTAACAAACTGAACATGTTTACATGGTTGGACATGGTGCCGGCAAAGAGATTCTGTAAATAAAAAAAGCTAAAATGCGCTTAAAGAAATCATAAAGTATATTTTTTAAAATGTTAAAATGGTCAGCTTGCTAGCAAGCCTGACTTTAGCTTTAGCGCTGACGCTAAGCTAGTCAAAGTTGAACACAATCTCAGTTTAAGTGTTATCAAAGTGTTCAGCTGAATTTGTTGCCACAATGAAGTAGCTAAGTTAATTTACGCAAAATAATTTCACAGTCTAATAATCCTGATAAAAATTCAAATAAATTTAATAACCAATATTCCATTGATTATAGCCTCCAAAATTTATTGATATAGTTTAACTGAATCTCCATTATTAGGAAAAGTTTGAAACCACCTTGAATAATTTCAGTAGTTCAGTGTATCTCAATGTATTAGAATATGATTGAAAGGTTAGTTTACTCTAGTGATTCAGTTCAAAAAGTAAAATGCATAAATACATGTCAAACACAGTTTTTATTTACAAAATTATTTTTTCCATTCAACTTTCTATCAATATGCTACGGCTTTTTCACAACATTCCAGTTTTCTGACACTGTTTTGGGTTTTTGTTGTAGCTATAAAGTCTTGACATATTTCACTCCATGTAATGAATCTAAGGAATATAAGCGTCAGTTTCTGAAATGAGTGAAAAGAATATCCCAATGTTCAGATTTTTTTGTGATGTGTTTGTAAATACAGGGTCTTAGTGCTGTCAATCAACCTCGTGTACCCTGCTAAATGGGCTAACAGCATAGAAAAACACTTTAAATTCCAGGAAAACTTTTATTCAACATCATCGGTGGCCATGCTGACTAGCCTAGCATATGTGTCACACAACACACTGGGAAAAGCTGTAGCGTGTACACAAGCATGATTGATTGACCAGGCAGTGTATTTCTGCATTTAGCGTTGAGCACTGGAAGGAAATGGAGGAGCTTGTTTTTGTTTTGTTTTTGTTTTGATTTTATGTCTCATAACATAATGTCACAACATAGTGGCAGTTTTAACAAATATGTAAAAAAAACATATATTTTTTAAACAAGAGTTACATACTGTAGCTTTAAACAAAACATAAAATGAAGAAAAGATTAGTTCCCTTACAAGATGTCACAAAAACTGTTTTATTTTGGGGAGAAGTGGGGGGAGCTTCTATTTTGATTAAAGATTCACAACAAAATACCAAAACAAATTTAAAATACATATATAAGTTTGACTGATTTCATAGAAATATCTGTGGAATACCTTTAAATGATCATTTGGTATTGTAAGCGGAAATAGAATTATTGCTCTGGTCGATCCTCTTTATACGGATGTTTGCAACATATTCTTTTTTTTAATATATATATATATATATATATTTACATGTGAATTATTTCACATGCTCCCCGCCCCCTCCCGCGTGTGTTCCCCGCCGCAGACCTGTCAGTGTGCAACGCGTGAGTCGGAGCGGGGCTCGCCGCTGATCGCATGCAGCTTCTGCAGGTGTCAGTGTGGCTGGAAAGCCAGTAGGAGGGACTTGATGCTCCAACTTCTCTCGTTTTATTTTATTTTTTTTTCCATCTCTCCGGCTCTCTAGCCAGTCGTCCTGGTCCTGCTCGGGAGAGAAAGAGAGAGAGAGAAAGAGAGAGAGCACGCGAGAGAGAGACAGAAACAGAGAGAGAGCGAGAGGCGACGACGGGCATCGGCAGCGCCGCATTTCGTGGGAACACACAATGCATCTGAGGCTGACCGAGCGACTGGAAACTGTTTTTACCGCGCTTTCCTATTTTTGATTCGCGTTTCTCTCCTGCATTTATTTATTTATTAATTTATTTATTTGTGTTGCGTCTTGTCTGTCTTTTCTTTTTCGTCATTCTTTTTTCTTTTTACCCCCACCTCCTCCCTCTTCTTCTTCGTCTTCTTTTTTTTTTTTTTTTCTCCCACCCAGCAGCCTCTGACGCGCAAGGACACTACAGCATCCATCCACGGCAGGAACGCTCACACAGAGCATCCTCTGTACAGGCGCACCAGCCGTCCTTCCTTCCTTCCTTCATTCATTCCTTCCTTCCTTTCTCTCTTACCTTCCTTCCTCCCACTCTCCTCCTCTCTCTTTTTTTTCTCTCCTTTCTTGTTTCTGTCGGAACCCAGAGGACATCGGGAGCCCTTGCTTATACTTAACCCCCCTCTTCCTCTCCACCCACCCACACACCCACTTTTTTCTCTCTCTTCCTCCCCCCCGGCCTCCCTCTCCTCTCCAACGGAGACATGGATCTATGGTTTCGCTCGGTCCGGATTTGCTGGTGGAGGGTTTTGCTTCTGATGAGTGTTTTCCAGGACTACCTGAGCTCCATGCTGGACTGCCCGCCGACCTGCAGCTGCTCTCAAACAGAGATCTATTGCAATAAGTCCGACAACGGCAGGTTCTTCCCGCTGCTCGCCCTGCAAGACGGCAACGGGACCGGTGTGGATATCGCGGACTTATTCAAAAACATAACCTCCATGTAAGTAGCTGCGGATTATGCTGCGCGTTTCTGAATCATTAATTGAGTCCCCCCTCGCCCCCCCCCACTCCAAACCCATCCTTCCTCTACTTCCTGTCTGTTGCTTTCCTCGCGCTGATCAGACTTGTTGGCTGCATGTCTTTATCAGAAGACTTTTTTTCAGTTTAAAGAGGCATTTTTACATTTTTTTTTAATTTTTTTATTGTCTAATTGAGTAAAAATAATTCCAAACAGAGTGAATCAACACAAAACCGTATCAGGAAGTGTATTTTTTTTTGTACGTCTGCGTCCACATAAAGTTGTATCTCCGCAGCAGCATCAGCAGGCCTGCACATCCAGGCGGTGATGTGTGTGTGTGTGTGCGTGTGTGTGTGTGGATGTTGCAGAGAACCTCGCATCACTTCATCTCCCCCCCCTCCCCCGTTTCTGCTCCTCTCCCACATACTGGTGAAAATACAACAAAAAATGCAGAAGGGTCAGCAGCTCCATCTTAGACCTTCTTCATGAAAACTTTATCAGATGATGATGATGATGATGATGGAGATGAATGCTCACTTGTGGCTTTCCGATTTAGCAGCTCAACACAGAGCATCTATGATGACGGTAGACTATCAAACCGCCCCGCACTCCCACACACCCACAGAAGTAGCTACATTTTTATTCTACATCCTCCCCCTCTCTCTTCCCTTTTCTCTCTCTCTCTCTCTCTCTCTCTCTTTCTGGCATCGATCCCTCCTCCCAACATCAAAGCTTTCTTTCTTGAAAAGTCAGAGGAAGAAGTAGGGGGTGAGGGAGGGAATGGGGAGAAAAAAAAAGACATACAAGACCTTAAAAAAAGAAGAAGGAAAAAAGACCCCCGGTGTCGTTGAGGCTGATTTGCATAGAAAGTAAACACCTCCCGTTAACGCAGCGGAATTCCCCGCACGGCTTCTTCCTCCAAAGGACTTTTTTTCTCTCTCTCTCTCTCTTTTCCTCCCATCAGTGTCTTTGGTGTCCCGTTTACCCTCCCACCACGTATTATTTTTTATTTTTTCGTATAAATATACAGACGACAACTCACTCTGTGCCACGGTTCACCGCCTCCCCGGACCACTAGAGGGTAGCCTGGTACCCCTTTATATATATATTCTCTCCTGCCACAACACAAGGAGTCATTGACGTGACTGTTTTATCAGGAGGGAATTCGCCATGGTTTGTTCGCCAGAACGAGCGCAGCAATTTCTTTCTTTCTTTTTTTTTTATGTTACACTCGGCTGCATTAAGTAAAAAGGTGGAACAGTCAGAGGTAATCACTGTTAGTGATTAGCGTGACCGCAGGATGACCCATGCATACAGATTAACTCATTGCCGAACCTGCTCCGTTGGCTTATTTGTCCCCTCTTTTCACTCTCGACCACTAACGTCCGGAAAGCGTCTTGTTTCTGGTTGTTACAATGGTCTCTCTGTTTAAACCCCCTCCAAAAAACAAACAAACAAACAAACACACAAACAAAAAACAACAACAATAAGCTTTTGGTGGATATTAAATATTAGCCACGGAAATTATTTCAATTTTAATCAGGCAAAACTGTTGGTACCTCAGAGCAAGAAGCTTGATTTCACACCTATCTTTCGGTTTGGTGTAAATGTTTCTAAGCAGATATGTATCCAGGCGTGGAAGAAAATATCCCAGTGTGTTATATTTAAACATATTTGGATATTTATCATTTTTAGCAACACTAACCAATGTTAGCGTTATAACTACTTTAAATCTTTGGTAAAATGCATGAAAAACGCTATTTCTGGTAAGGCATAAATGAGGACAACCCCAATGTTTATTCCCACTTCAATTGGCTAAAATTACACACAAGCCTTTCAGATTAGGTTTACATTGTAAAAACACTGCTACTAATCATTTTTGCAAGACCTATTTAAACTTCAGACGATTAGCTTGGTGTCGCTCTTGACATCATTTTTAGAAAGAAGACCTTATGATGAAAGATGTCGTCAAAAAATTTCAGTCATTCCACTGTATGCAAAAAGAGTCTACGAGTGGAAGACCTTCAGAACAGCTGCCAACTAACTCTGGTTTGGCTGTCCAATCACGTTTACCCTGAGAACACACCATAAGATGCTTCAAGAAGTCTCCAAAAAGATAAAACCCTACTGTAGTTAGTCTCTAAGAAAAACACAAAGACCACAGTAGAGTTTGGCAGAGAGAGTGCAGACAAACATCCAGGACTTTAGGAATATTGCTCTTTGAATAAATGAGTGTACAGCCGAATTACTTGGACACCAGAACAGACATCATGTCTGACACAAGCCAAATACAGTTAGACAGAAAAAAGGAGCTACAACGGTGAAGCACGGTGGTGGAAGTGGTTTGGGAATAGTTTGTTTCTTCAGGTCCAAGGATGCTTGGGGGAAATAAATGACATCTTTTTTGCGGAACTGGACTTTGTAGCAGGACAATGACCTAAAACATCTCAGCAAATCCACCAAAAACTGGCTGAGAGTTTTTAAATAGAAAGTCTTGCCTCAAGTCAAAGCCAATATGTTGGTCTTTGCAAGATATTGTTGGAAGACTTTTAATGGGCTGGACATGGAAACGTGCCTTTAAATATCTGCAAGAAATGATTAGCGAGGCAAACCCTTCACCAGACCGATGGCAGAGATTGTACATAGAAATATGTCACTGAAGTTATATAAACTAATCCCACACTTTAGTGTGGAATATTGACAGTCAGCAGGGTGTGCCAGCTTTTTTTTCAGTTAAAAACACATTTTGTTTCTTTATTATTCTTGTTTACTTTATTGATTCAAACAAGATTGTTTTTACTGGTGTTATTAAGCTGACAATGTGTGTAAGCTATGTCTAAATGTTCAATTTAGCTAGAAATGGGTATATAGTAGCTCTCACAAATTAAAATATAATATATTTCCATGCTGAAAAGGTTTCTGTGTTGGAACAAGACGAAAGTGTTTCATCCAGCTTTAACTTCTTTAAACACTGTATTACTGCTGAAGTCAAACTGCGAGCTGAGGTTCTCAACTGTGACACAGTCACTGCCAAAGACCAGCATGTTTTAGCTGGAGATGGATTAAAGACCTTCTTGTAAGAATAATAATGTTATATAAACATCATGTTTTTAGTAAGAAATATGGATTAAAATCAACCAAAATTGCATGCAGGCAAACTTTGAACCAGTTTTACTAAAAAAATACATACTTACTACAATCAGTTTGTTTTATCAGTGTACTCCTTTCTAGATAAACTCAAAGTCACGATCTGATCGCCTTGTTTGCCTTTGAGAAAACCCATTGCGACTGACCCAGGACTAATTGTGCATTCCTAGTCTGCCGGCTCGTCCTGTTTTTTCCTTCGTCCTTTTGCTGCTCAGTATGGACAGCAGCGTCCGGCCAGCAGCACCACCAGCAGCTCAATGACGGCCCATCAGAGACCACACCACCCAATGTCACACAGCCCAACACATCTGCACTGGTCACACAAACGGTTGCAGTCTGAGCAGCAACAACTGGAGGAGCCTGATCTAACGAACCAAAAACTGCTAAAAACCGGAAAGCTTGTGATCTCCTCCGTCATGTCTCCATATTAAGATATACGTTAACACATATCTTTCTATGTATCCTCTCATTTAGAGAATCATACTTAGGAAAAAAAACTGCATATGAAAGCCTTAGTTTTTGCTCCTGACTTAGCATACGCTAACAAGACAAACTATTAGAGTTTACCAGATTTAACTGGTGTAACAATTTGCAAATATTTGATTTGATTCTGAATCTTGTAACCATTTTGTCATTGAAATATAGAAGATTAGCAGAAAAAAAGACTTGATTAAATTCTAACTAATTATTAAAAAAACATTCTGCTACTTTTAGCACGTAAAGCGAGAATTTAATTTAGCCAAATTTTAATAAATGCTTCAAATTTATTACTCAACTAAATTAGTTACATTCTAACAAATAAGTAAGATCACATTTACCATCTTGTTTGTAATCATGCGTGAATGAGAAACAAAGAATTGGTGTAAGGTAGTAAATATTCTGAAAGTGGTACATTTTAAAAAATTTATTAACAAAATTTTCTCCATGACAACCTTAACTGAGATTGGCAATAATTAGCAACTAACATCACATTTACAAATGTATACTAGACTAAAATTAAAGTCATTTTAATGGCTAAAACCCTCTGATATTCCCCTTTATAGTTTGTGGCTTACTTAGGGTTGAGTTAAGTAGTGCACCATCACCTACTGCATCTTTTCTATCTGAATAAAGCAATTTCATGCTTGATGATAATTTGTGGCTGCCCAGACAGCCGCACTCTTAAAAGACGATAACTGGTATCCATAGCAATAAGAAGCAGTCAGAGGCAGGGCCCACATGCACCACAAGTGGTCCTTGATCTTCTCTCTTTTAAGTAGGAAGATGCATATTCTGCCAACAAGAACACCTTTTTTTTCTTCTCCTTTTTGTTAAAAAGGCGTGAGCAGATCAAGCTAATTTATGTAGACAGAAAGCTGCAGCAGCGGTGACTAGCAATAAGTGCAGAAAGAAAGTGGGGGGTACTGGCCAGCCAAAGAAAACTGCCAAGTCCAGATAATAGTTTTCCAGTTCTCTCCCATTAGAGATTCATCACAAGAAGCATTGCTGCATGAAGCGGATAAGATAAGACCTCGACTCGAAGAAAAAAAAAAAATCAGCTTTCCGTGAGCAGCTGAGTTTACTGGTTTGTGAAAATGTGTCCGTGAGCCGAGCGCAGGAATCCTGTCTGCGTTTTTTAACTTGGAGCAGGATTAGTGGGCTTATTTTCCACATAACTGTGTTTCTTACTGTACTTTTTTAAAAATGACTGTTGCTTTAAGCTTGTGGGGGTTTAAAATGTAAAGCCAAGCTCTAGTGCCTTTTCTGTTTACTTGCTCTCTCATCCCCTTAAAACATATACAAACAATCTTGGCATGTTTATTAGTTGTTGTTTTGTTGGTTAGCTAGCCTCTTCC